TTTTGTCCAACGTCTATGGATACAATTGATTTTTAGGCTTGTACAAAAAGTGTATGAAAGTTAAATGAATTAGTTAGTAAATCACTCTTGTTATTTAGGGATCAAACATTGGATTATGTAATGATTCAGTGTGGAATTCATCTTCAGATTATTCGTATCTGTCTAGTAAACAAAGCAAAATATCTGTATATAAATGAATGGAAACTAGAACGTTACGTTTCTTGAAAATTGTATTGTTAGATATATATTACTTACTTACTTAAGCCTGTCATTTCTCGTGGAGGAGCATAGGCCGGCTTCCCAACATTCTATATCCAACTCTGTCCCAGGTAATCCTTTCCGATTGTTTCCAGCTTCTATTCATCCTTTCCATTTCTGTTTCTAATTTCTGACCCATTGTGTTCTTTGACCTAGTTCTTCTCCATTTCCCTTCACGATTCCAAGTTAACACTTGCTCTTGTTAAACTTATTTGGATTTCCTTTTTTAAGGAGTTGAAGCCAGATAATTTTTTCTAATGATTACAAGGATGAAGTTTTTATGTACTGGTTATTTGAATCTTCCCATTGATGTTTAGATCTGGAATTAATTGGTTTTTTATTGCCATGTATGAATCCTGTACGGATTACATCAATATTTCCACTAAGTCAGAAGAATTTTCGAGCTGAGATTTATGGTGGTTATCAGTGGAATCTAGGATGCGCATTTTGTCCCATTTCGGACTCGTCGTCCGGATTTCAGTAATTGCAACAACAACAACAGAATTGAAAGAATCATGAACCATACAAAGGAAAACCGTAGGAAGATGTTCTCAAAAAATGTATTTAATGCATAATTTTCATATTTTACGAAGGCACTCTGTAATGTCTCAATAAACATTAAATTTATCTTCCCCACCTGAGTTCTCCATTCATTACAGTTTGGTAAATGCCACTCGGTTCGAGTTCCGAAATAAACATCAACTCGGATGCAGGTATATCCAGCTAAAACCTCCCAAATAGGACGAGACGCGTGTGCTGGATTCCATTACTAGCCACTATCCATCTTTGCTTAACAATATGAAATTATTTAAAAATACTTGACACTAAATATCTATATCACAGTATTACATTGTATACCTTTAGCGTGACCATCAATATAGAAACGTTATTTATGTTCGTTGTTCTGTAAAACAGCCTCCAACTTATCATCACTTTTCTAGCTTTGCTGAACAAGTAAACTGTTAGGATTTGATATTTATCGTCAATACATGGAGTAGATCATGTAACAGATTGTCACAACTCATACACTACTCAGTGGAATGATAATAATTTTACTGTTTGTTTTCAAGACATTAGTACATTAGAATCCATACACTTAAGTGAATGTATAAATGCTCTAGCAAATATACCATGCGGCGAACAGGTTGTTAGAAGTCATCTACTCAATAACTTGTATTCTTAAACATATTTCCAACTGAGTGTTTCTTATCCTAAAAAAATCTCGGCAAAATGTCTTCTGAAGCTAAGATCATATATGCAATTAAGGAACACTTAAAACAACAGAATAGGTAATTTAACTATCTTATTTTCAGTAAACTCAAATGGTCTAAAAAAGTGCTCAGACTGTTGCTATGCAGCTCTTAGAAATTGAAATGTCTCTGTGAATCACACGAACTGGCAAATTCAAAAGTTGTCATTGTATTGAATAGTGCATGATTAAATAACACGACATAAGATGAAAAGAATATATTAACTATAATCAGTTTCTAACAAGCATTATTCATTTCAACCGTTACTCTTTGAGATACTATACCTAACGGTTAACCTATAATGATAGTCAGGGAAGTGAAATTCTTGAAGACAAGTTCGTTTAAACCAATCATTAATTCAATACAATATTACTAAGACCAAATTATTAAGATGGTTTGTTTCACAGATGGTTTGAGTTCAGCCACGATTGAAGTCGTTCATCTATACTGAATTCAAACTTCTATCCTCAATATTCAGAAAAAAACAAAATGTCCCGTAGCTTTCTATAATGAAATGGTCTTGTCAATAGAACCAAGAAACACTGGAAAGCCATTTCATCTTAATGAGTTCTTAGGTTGTCAGTTGAATGATTTGACGGTTAGGTACTTGACATGAGTGCCAAGGTGAAGTCATAGATGCGTAATTCTAAGCTGCACCATGTTGGGAGGGGAAAGTTGTTAACTCATACATTTATCTCACCAAATCCAGCTTATGATGTTATGGTACAAAACTCAACAATCTCCATCAACCCTTCTGAAAAATAAGATATTTGAGGGACTAGGTTAGTCGATCAAGAAAAAACAAAATTTAGTAATAGACCTACAGGAAGATGATGGATACGAGGGAATGAGGATTAAGCCATAAGCATTGGTAGAGTAAACGACTTGAATGAAATGTAAAAAAAACACGTTTGTCGTCTTAACAATCCATATATATTTTCGTGCTACTGAATATTAGTAAGTAGTGTAAAAGAAATCAAATTAATGTGGAAGAGGTGATGGATTGAAAGCAAGAAGACCTCATTTATGATTTTTTGTTTTCTATTATTCACAAATATACGAAACATAATTGTGTTTTTAATAAACATGTTCACTAATATACTACTGGGTAGTCTAGGTGAGCAGTTATAAGACATCTTAATGGCCTACGACAGTGAAAATATAAAATAGATTAATCTGAGAATTAGTTCTTTGATAAAGAACTGTTTCAGTAATATGCTTTGATATGACATCAATATTAAGAAATTGTATAACTCTATTCAAGATGTCTTGCTCATCAACATCATCTATTGAAACTGTTTATTGAATTTTAAACATTCTCACAGGAAATGGATCTGTCACGTAAGTAATTTAATCAGTAATATAGGGGATCTGTAAATACATGCTCTATCCATTTGTTTTTTTATGAGGGTATTCACTTATAGAAGTAATCTAGTCAAATAACTTGCCATATAAATTTGTCTCTATGACCTATGATATCAGAGTTTTACATGGGTCATAACCCTTGGTTTATAAATTCTTTCATCTTGACATGCTATCATTATATCTTCTCTGAACAAGAAAGTCAACAATACATATTTATTCACTGAACATTAATTGAGATATAGAAAGAAGTGTATAAATGTGGTTCTTCATACTATGACAACAAATGTACAAATCAGATGGCATGTAGTTTACAGTTAGTACGGATTCTGTGCAATTAGTTCCCATCACCAACATTTAAACAAAACAAAAGCGACAATATTTTCAGAGTACAATAAAACTGATTCATTGTAGTTAGCTGCTTTCTCTTCAGCTTCATATAAGCTAATAAACCGAATTGTTTTTCATTATTAACATAATAGTAACTTGGACTGAAGCATATATGTGTCTGGTCCTATGTTGTAGCTGACTGACTGACTAATTAACATGATATTGAAAGATGAGCTGTTAATCAGTAATGATTAAGTTGTTTTAGTTGTGAATGAAGTTGAGAACTGAAGTTTTAAAAGGGGTTTAATTATAACTACTCAAGGTGATAGTTCCAGAATATTAAAGCAATTTCATTGGGTAATAAAATATAAATCCTTGTTATTTTTTGAAAGGAAGAAGATGTATGGGTTCAACTTATTAGATTTTGAGTATGGGGTTGGGGAGATTGTTGAGTTTTTGATTGATATCTTGAACTGATTGATGTTAGACCATCACTGAAAACCTGGAAGCACCGGACGGCCACTTCGTTCTAGTGTGGTACTCTTCAGCAATGCAAACTTACGATATCGCACACGGGATTCGAGTCCCAAACCTCCAGTCACAAGCGCGAACGCATAGCCTCTAGACCACTAAGCCAACACTTAACGGTGATGTAAGCATTGTATCCAATATGACTACAGTGAAAAGTTTGCGAATTTGTCGTGAGTAATGCATCATGTATTCAGAGCATCATATTTAAACAGGACACATACATGCATATATATATATATATATATATATATATATATATATATATATATATATATATATATATATATATATATATATATATATATATATATATATATATATATATATATATATATATGCATAACTTAACATCTGTAGTGAACGAACAAGCAGGTGGGGAAGGCCAATCTATTGTTTGATACAAAATTACAGAGTGCCTTCATAAAATATGAAAACTATACATCAAATTCATGTTTTACACATCTTCCATCATTATTCCTCCACATGATTCCTTCAATTCTGTTGTTAATACGATTACTTTCTATTTCCTTCCATTGAATCTTCCCAATTTTCTGAAGGTATGTATTCCACTTTCGACTAGTGCTACATTCCACTTATGTCTGTCAACATAAGTAGTATACACTACGTATATAGTACTATCCTGTCATTACTTACTATGGCCTTTATTCCTGAAAATTCTTAGCTCGTAGGTACATATGGTTCGACTTTATTTCTAGTAATGTAACATATTTAATTCTAACCAAAACTTTCTCAATGATACGTTTGCCATACTAGATCATTTTTATGAAATGAAAAGTACTGGAAAACAGTGTTGTCATAGTATGGGACTCCTCAGCAATGTACATCCGTGATCCCATGCGCAGGATTCGAACCTTGGACCTCACTGAAGACAATCTTGGATGTGTCACTGGATTTCATGGATTAGTTGAAGTTAGACATTAACATCGTTGGATGCCGGTCGGCTCAGTGATCTAAAGGTTAGGCGCTCGCACGCGAGGTTGCTACGTCTTGAGTTCGAATCTCATGAGGTGGGATTGTGGATTCACACTGTTGAGGAGTCCCACGATAAGACGAAACGGCCGTCCAGTGTTCCCAGGTTTTCCATCGAGGTTTAGCCTCAATTGACTCACGATCTCAACCATCGAAAAACATATTAGTTGAATCAATAGCTATTTTTAAAGATAACAATTACAAGACATTTTTCCATGATTATAAACACATAATATTCAATCATGTACCAGTACACATTGTATTACATTACATAAACGATTAATTATCTAATGTTAAATTAGTTAATTTCATGGAGATAGGGATTTTTACAAGTTTTTGATTACGTAATTGTTTCACATGTTCACTAGTTAATTTGGATTCTTTTAATTTACGCTCTTGTATATTTGACTCAATAGTAAACTTTTCACATAATCGATTCCAATGAATTTCCGAAGATAATTCATTTTGATGTTGCTTTTTAGTTTTAATAGCTTTATTTATTCGGGATCTATAAAAATAAGAATATACAAGTAGGGGATAAACTAATGTATTTTAACACATTACAGAATAAGCAAAGATGGATAGTGGCTAACAATGGAATCCAGAACGCACGTTTCGTCCTATTTGGGACTCGTCAGCTATATATACCTGAATCCTAGAGTTGATGTTCACTCTAGGACTTGAACCCATCTTTGCTTAAAAAGCTTGTGACTTAAGGCTATAACGAGGCAATCCGCACAGGATGCACATATGTCAACATGAGACTGATCAATTACAGTCCTAAATAACAATGGGAAAATACAAGTAAAACAACACCAAGTGAATTTTTACATTACAGAACATCTTAGTAAAATCTGAAAACCATACAATTAACTAAGAGGAGATTCATGCAATAATAATAGTAATACACTCTGAGAATAAGAGAACTATAAACAAGAACAGTGTATTGATGGGTATGTTGTGTATGCTATGGCTCACAACCGTTTGAAATGGCACAAGTGCATCCACTATTTGTGTTCTCCCAAATTCTAATTTGAGTTCTTCATATCCCTCTTTTTTCTATTTCCAAATTTATTTCACTGGATTATACTCCTTGAGTAACATCTTCAAACCCTAATCTTTCTGATTACTGCTTATACTCTTACTACCCCTACCACTATAGGATTTGAATCGACGATTGCATCTCTGTACTAATTTGGTATGGCAACTCGAACTGATGTACGTACGTACGTACGAATTTTTATGTTGTTGACTGACTAACTGATATATATACATATAATTCATCAACTACTGACTAACTGACTTAAAGTATTCGGGCTTACTCACAGCACTAAGTGACTGAAACTATAGTAGGTAATGGGAATATTATGTCAAAGAGGCTATCCGCCAACATTAAACGTTTAAAATTTTCGGATGGAATCATTAGTATGATTTAAACCTCTGCACTTAATGACAATACAATCACAACAATGCTTTTCTCTGAGCAATTATAGCAATCAAGAGTAGACAGGATTCGGTAATGGCTAAAAATCTGGGAATTATGTAACCGATAGTTAGAGATTTTATTTAGTAATGATCAACGTCACTAATATCAAGCTTCGAACGTAACAAGATAAATACACAATGTCGACATTCACAGACGACAAATCTAATACAAACCTAGAACTAATTTCGTCGTACTCAATCAACTGGTTACTATGGCAAATTACTCTCAACAAACTGGTGATCAAACAAAATGAAATATATTTCCAAGGTCATATATTCATTTCATATAGTTCCACGTTTGTTCATCAGTAGAACAATAATTCAAATCTAAGAACGCAAATGGAAATAATAGTCATTGTATTCAACCATTTCTAAGAATTAAAATGGTATAATCAGTTTTGTGGATTTGTGGAGGTCGTAGTATTTTCAAAGCTTAATTCACAAGTCAATCTAAGCTAGATGACCATCGGCCGTCCAGTGCTTCCAACTTTTCAATGGTAGTCTAGCTTAGATTGACTTGTATACTACAATTATTTAAATATCGTACGATAATATAGGAAGACAGTTAGAAATATATTTTTCTAGCTCAGAATAAAGGTAATATGTGTATATTTCAAGTTCTGTGTGTTCTGATATCCGATTATTGAACACTTCAACAACCATAATTTATGAACGACCTTTGAGCGACGCTAAAGTGACCTTGAGAGTTTCTACTTACTTGCTAGGGCTAAATGATGGTTATAAAGCAGTTTGAAGAAGTATAATTATGATTTACAGTTGATGGTTAGAATTGGGAATTAGATTTAGGGTTTTCATAACGAACTGACATCAGTCATAATGTCAAGGCACTGTTTAGCCAAATGGGTGAATGGATTTTGCGCCAAAATCTAAGATCTGTTATCGTAAATCTGATTGGTTCGTTCATAAATTTTTAGTCTCACCCAAAAGACTAGTCTGAATTAGTGATTTAAAAATAACTTTCTTAAAATGAAAAAGTATGCTTTCATAATATGGTGAACATCAAAAACTCATCTATTTAGTTGTTATATTTGAAGAGATCGCCTAAACCAGCGAATGAAATGAAGACTCAGAGATATAAATGATAAGTTAACTATTCCGATGTGTCCTAGTCACACTAACTAGAGGAAGAAATCCAGGTTCAGAAGAAATGAAAGTGTATCCCACAAACAGCCAGAAACACAAATAACAACAAGTACAATTCAAGCGTATATATATATATATATATATATATATATATATATATAGCATAAAAATGCCCTCGGGAAATATCACAAAATCGCATATTAAAAGTGTGACGACGGATCACGGGTGAACTGTAAGAGGCTCAGAAGGAGCTGAAGATGTTTCATCCAATCACCTTTCGGAAGAATATTCTAGAATTCCTACGTGTAGCTTCCCGGTTGGACAATGCTAATAGCCCCCTGTATGCGGATTGTAGGACTGTAATGATGGTTTCGTTCTTACTAAAAACTACAAATACCTGACAATTTTATGCTATAATTGACACTGTTTGGAATAATATTCCTTTCATTAGTCTTCTGTCTTTTTATTGTGACTTGTAAGGGCTTTGGTGTTCTGGTGCTTTGTTATACGCGGTATAGCAAGAACTCAACATTCAAGATATAACAAAAAGTAACAACAAATCAATGATATTTAAGATCATTCCAACTGGGAAATATAATCTGAAGGTGAAAATGGGCACATTTGATGCAAAAACAAAAACAAAAAAATCAAATTTCCAATTGAATGTTAAGGATCTAGCATCTACTTATCATTTTGTCAAAGTTTATTTTATTGATTTATTGATTAATTGAATTTACCTGATTTCATTTGTTCGATTTTGTAAATTTATTAAATGTTGATATTTCTCTTCAATCAATAATTCATGATCTAATAATTTTTGTTTATAATTCAGATAATTTTCAGTTAATTGATTATTGATTTTTAATTGTTTTTGATCATTTTCAAGAAATTTAAATTTTTCCCGATTCATTTTTAGTTTTTCATTTAACTTAAATAAGAATATAAAAAGAAATAGAAACTATCGATGAAAAATATTTTTAATGAAAGATGAAGGAGGGGTTGTGGATATTATAGTCATTTTAATAGTTGAACTCATGAATCAATTAAAGTTAGACCACCATGGAAGACTTGGAAGCACTGGATGACCTTTTCGTCCTATTGTGGGATTCCTCAGCGGTGCACACCCACGATCTCGCCTCGCGAGGCGGGATGATTTTCCGGTTACTTATGAATACAAATACAACTATAAACAATCAATAATATATATATTCATGAGAAGCCATGACCAATGGAGTTCAACCGGGTCTGTTGTGAGATAGTAACTCACTGATGACAATGGTGGACGGTGGCGCAACTTCGTGGATTAGTTGAAGTTCAACATTAACATCATTGGATGCCGGCCTTTACAGTAGTCTAGCGGTTAAGTGCTCACGTGTGAGGTCAATAGGTCCTTGGTTCGAATTTCGCGAGGCGAGATCATGGATGCACACTGATGAGAAGTCCCATACTAGGACGAAACTGCCGTCCAGTGCTTCCAGGTTTTCCATGGTGGTCTAGCTTTAATTGACTCATGATCTCAACCATTGAAATTACCATAATATCCACAAAACCCTTTTGATATGTAATAATTATATTTGACTGCGAAAGGTTTTAAGTACTCTAATCAAATTAGGTCATTCAGCAGCTAAGATTACTATATATATATAAGTGGTGTTAGAAGAAATTCCATTCACTATATATTGTCTCTGGTCGGTGAATATTAGAAAAACATATAATGTTTATAAATGATATGAATAAAAGTCACAGCAAGCATAAAATGAAGATAAATAAATAAGATGAAGAAATGAATTCAAAGAGGAAGAATGTATTTTCAGAAGGGTTTGTCGAGATTTTAGAAATTTCACAGATTGAAATCATGAATCAATTGAAGCTAGACCACCGAGGAAAACTCGGAAGCACTGGAAGGCCGTTTTGTCCCAGCATGGGACTCCTCAGCAGTGCGCATCTACGATCCCGCACCCCACGAGATTCGAACACAGGACCTATCAGTCTCGCGTCAGGCGCCTAACCAAATAGACCACTGAGGAGTCCAATACTAGGACGAAACGGCCGTCCAGTGCTTCCAGTTTTTCCATGGTGGTCTAGCTTCAATTGACTCATGATTTCAATCTGAAGAATGTATTTGCAAATGAATGTTTGTTATTTTAATGTCCCGGTTAATTGTTTAGCATATTCAGATAAGATAACTGATTTGGACCGTTGAATGTAATTTCTGTGATTCAGATAATACGAAACAGATAAGGAGTTCAGGTTTACTTATTAATTATTACCTGCCACGGGACAACTAATTGTATTCTATCTCCTATTAATACTCTTTAGATTTGCCCATATGTGTAGGGCTTCGGCTGTAAGTCTTTCTTTGTGAAAATTAAAGCCTTTTTGAAAGATTCTTGTGCCATTGAAATAAATTATATGACCCTATTCTATTTAGTGTAATGCTATAGGTGATTTATTCTGGAGTTTTCTTACATTATCTGAGGATTTACGAATGTGCTTTAAGCATATCCTTCACCCTCACATTAAGTTGTCTTGATGTCTCACCTACATACGTTGCATTACAATAACTAATCTTGAGTTCATAAACGCAATTTTGTTGTTCCTCCTTGCATATTAGATCCCTGATTCTTACTAGTTTTGATCTTAGATTATTGTTTGTTCGAATGAATACTCTTATATTTTGAAGAGTTAGGATTGTTCTGATCTCTTCTGAAACACCTCTACGATATAGGATAACCAGTGTGTTAACCCATTCTTTTTGTTTAACTCTTTTTTTTATTATTGTCGTTTTGGTTTTCGTTCTTAAAAATTCTTTTTATAAAATGTTTAGGATAATTATTCATCATCACAGTGGATATAATTAAATTCATTTCCATTTCTATATCATTTGGTTCAGTGACAAGTTTTTGAACTCTGGTGATTAAACTCTTGACCACTGTCACTTTGATGCATTGTGGATATGCTGACAAACGTGTCATCTGCATATCTTAACCAAACTTTTGATCGAAGGGAACACATTGAAATCACACTTGTTTCCAATCAATACATGAATAACTTAGCAACAATTAATGAAACCGGTGATTTCAAAACTACACCTTCTGTTTGTCTGTACCAATCTCCTGGAAAATTGAAAACAATTGAATTTAAACATAGATCTAATGCTTTACTAATATCTGAAAGACCTAATGAACTTCATTGTTTAAGTTAAGGAACATTAGTCCACAATGAGTATACATCAAAACTTGTCATTAATTCATCTTCTATTAATGATCACGTCTTTGAACTTATCAGAAAATTTTAGTCCGTATTTGATTACAATTTCATACAGTTTAGTAATTTTGACCAGGTATGTAAAAAGAGTGTAGGTTGGTGAATTTATATAATCAACCACAGGTCTTAGTTGTGACATACATGCTGTGACATTTATGATTTACATCATTAATAAACATTATATGTGTTCTTAATATTCACCGACCAGAGACAATATTTAGTGAATGGAATTTCTTCTCACACCACTGATGTATACACACAATCTGTTATCTTAACACTTCTTGTTTCATACCACATGTCTCTTACACACTAATGCAACTACCTGACTTAAACCGTGTTCACGTTGATCGGATGACCTATTCAGTATACAGTAAACCGGAGAACCATGTACCTATTTATATTTGATACTTGTGATGGTTGATTATATTTCTTTGAAAAAGCTTGGACCAGATTGCTAGGCGAAATGTTGAATTTACTTCAAATTCATTCACTGAGATTTTATAAATACATTCTTCGTCTTTAATATCTAAGATTACTACTGATTAATTTGCCTTGAGGTTGGCCATGGGGATGAGAAGCGGTTGAATATATTTCTTTTGTACACATAGCTCTGGTTTCTTAATCCGAATGTTTACTACTTCTGTCGTCTAAAGGACTTTGAGTCTGATAGGCTTTGGCAGATATTTATTTCTTATTTTGTTTACAGGTAAATCCAAATATACTCCTAGATTCATTTGTCTTTTTACAAATGGAAAAGCTTGTGAACAACTTCAAAATACTGTCGTTGATAATAATGAATACTCAGTTTGTAAACCAAGTATTTGATTTTATTGTTGAATGTATTATTATTTAGCATAGGATATAATAACTCCGCCTGTAGCTCTTCTAGGGTTACTGACAGTCTACGCATGATACCCATTGTCCGTTGGCCATATACTACCAGCAACGACCTACTGTGAGAAAGAAAAAACCAGCTGCCGGCTGGAGAGGAAATTAGGAAAAGACATTGAAAGTGGATAGGACATACATTACGGAAATCACCAAACTGCATCGCGAGGCAAGCGCTAACTTGGATTCCTGAAGGGAAACGGAAAAGAGGAAGACCAAGGAACACACTGCATCGAGAATTGGAAGCAGATATGAAAAAGATTAATAGCAACTGGAATGAATTGCCCAGGACAAAGTTGAATGGAGAATGTTGGTGAGCGGCCTGTGCTCCTCCATGGGGAGGGATGACAGATGTAAGTAAGTATAGGATATAATATTAATTAAGAACTATGTAAGTGAAAACTAACTGATAAAGTCTACCATACAGAATCATTGGTAGAACTATTCAATACATCATGCATTCTGTCGAACAAAATAAATTCTTACTTCATTCTGTACTTTAATTTGATCTGATTTCCGTTTATTGAACTGCATTTTTTCGTAACTTCTTTGTTTTTGTAACAGAGCTATACGTTTACCACGTTTAACAATATTCTCCCAGTATTTTTGTGTATGCGATAAACGTAATTGACGTACATGATTGTGCTTTTCATGAGATTTCTTAATATCGTCAATTTGTTGATGCATTTTATCAATTTTTCTCCATAATCCAATTGCGATACCAATCTATAAGAAAAAAAAAGAATACATGAAACTGAACCGGCCTATGAATATTTTTAGTTCAGGGAGATCAGGTAATTCTGTGATGGTGGAGAAGATTTGTAGCTCAGGTGGATGATTTTGATGGAGTTTTGTTCTCTGAGCTGGATGGTTTGGTCGTGGAGCTCTCATCGTTCTTCTAAACGAAAACATCAGCACAATCGTTAGATAGAAGTGAAGTGTTTGAATTTCTCCACATGTGGTTCACAGCTCGTCCTGTAGACCTCGATGTTGATTGGTTCTTGTTGACCTTAAACCTATCATTGTTTACATCATTGTTTTGGTTGTATCTCCCATTGGTTTGTTTTCGTTCCTATGTTTGTGCATAATTTTCCTGACTGGTTGATAAATTGAATCGATGCCTATCAGAAACCACAAGAAGACTGCTGAAAATCTTCGGAATAAGCGCTGGACGCAAACCTACAAAATCATTACAATCAATCCAATGCAAACCAAATGATGAAATGACAAAAAAGACAAACCAAACATGATTTACAAAATAAATTGTGCCAACTGCGAAAAACACTACATCGGACAAAGCGGACACCCTTTTCATTTTCGCTTGTATGAACAACAAATAGCAGTCAAACGCCATGACATTTCCTCACTTATATCAATGCAAGTGGACAACTGAGGACACTCATTTGACTGGAAAAATATGGAAATCTTGGATAGGGGAAATTCCAAAAACACTAGAAGCTTGGCACCCAGGTCAATCAGCATTCGACAAGCACATTGAAATCGATCTAATTTATCAACCAGTCAGGAAAATTATGCACAAACATAGGAACGAAAACAAACCAATGGGAGATACAACCAAAACAATGATATAAACAATGATAGGTTTAAGGTCAACAAGAACCAATCAACATCGAGGTCTACAGGACGAGCTGTGAACCACATGTGGAGAAATTCAAACACTTCACTTCTATCTAACGATTGTGCTGATGTTTTCGTTTAGAAGAACGATGAGAGCTCCACGACCAAACCATCCAGCTCAGAGAACAAAACTCCATCATCGTCTTTTCAAGGAGTTTTTTTAGTAACTTTCGTTTAATTGACATTTGGAAGTAAATATATGAGTAATGTATTTTTGTGTTGTTTGTTTGATTCTTTCCATTGATGGTTAGGATTGTATTTGATCAATCTTTTATTGGCATATGTGCATTCTGTGCGAATTGCCTTGATATTGCCTTACGTTACAAGCATTATAAGCAGATATAGATGATGGTTATCAACTGAATGCTGGACGTGCGTTTCGTCCCATTTGTGACTCATCAGTTGGATGTATCTGCATCTCAGATTTGATGTCCACTTTGGGACTCGAACTCAGTACAGTTCGCTTCAAACACCTTCAATTTAGCTAATTAGCTAATTAGTCCAAATAGCCACTAGCTTTTGCAATGGGATGAAGTTCCAATTCTAATATACAACTGATTACTATCAGTCAGTAAGAGAAATTTCCTGGAAATTTTGTGATGAAAATGAATTTCGTGCATCTAGAAAATGATATCGATAGTTATTAGAGAGTATTCATATGTCAATTATAAAACCAATAGACATAATGATTGATTTTATCAGAAATCAACGATGTGAGCATATTGAGAGATAAGCCAAATTGAGATAAATCTTTAATGGTAACAATCTGACTATTGTTTAAGTCTATCAAACAGTCAAACTCAGTGGTATTACTATGGTACTTAACGTTATCCATATAAAAAACACGTTAATTAACTAACTAAATTTTTGTTGAGAAAGTATTCTACTTAGAAAATATATAGGAAGCTTTATAGGATACCTCTGCTATTGATCGATGAGGAAATAAATTTCTTTGTTGCTGTTGTTTTTGTTCGGTTTTTATCAATTTTTCTACGGACAGAGTTGGATGTTTCACAAAAATATTTTCGGAACATGGTGTATTGAATCGCTGGCAGTAGAATTCAAAACTTCTTGGGGTATTAATCAAATTGTTTGATCTGGGAGATACATCACTGATAAATAGGATAAAGAAATTAAAAGTGAGTGAACACATGAGTGGATTTGGCTCAAACTTTCAGTTTGCTATCAATTAGCTGGAATTAATAGTTAAAATATATTGAACCTAGGTTTTATACTAGTTTGATCTTTTTATTAAGGATTGGCTAAAATTTCAAGGGAAATGATGGTCCATATGAAATGTAAACTCGCTCTACCCAGTTTCACAATCTAAGGTATTACCACTGAAACAGTTGGCAAAACAGTTAAGCGGTTTTGACAGGTGATAACTATCATGAAATCTGGATCCGAGGTATCCTCACAGCTTCGTCCAGCCATAGCATATGAAATCAATGAGGATATTGGGATATCGTCTATGGAACTCAATTAACAGTAATGAGTAGATAGACACGGAATTGGCTACTACTCAATGATAATTCAGTGCATATATTCAAAGTGTGACTTAAAAATAGGCCAATATTCCGAGTTATTTAAATACTTCGATAAACGGCCCAGTAAAAGTTTGAGGATAACTCGTTTATTCGATATTCAAATCGCTATCATGAATGGATCGATGCTAGGCTACCATTAAAAACCTGGAAAAACTGGATGGTCGTTCCGTTCTGTTCTGGGTTCGAGTCCCGCATGCCGGACTCGTGGGTGCGCACTATTGAGGAATCCTATATAACGACCAAACGGTTATACAATGCCTCCATGTTGTTAATGGCGGTCTAGTTTACATCGACTTAAGAACTCAACTATTAAAACTACTACAATCTCCACAAATCCTCATTCTGATAACTTTTGAAAAATCAAGTTCTGTCAAGTAGATGCAAATGTTCCTATTTGAAAAAAAAACTTATCACGTATGATGAAATAAATTATAAAAAAGAGATTTTAAAATCCTTTGAAAAACTTCTTTCTTAAGGGGTATTCGTTGATTGATCCTGTCAAACTAAGTTGGAACGTCGTTCAGCTTTTCAAGTTGGAGAGAAGAGGTTTTTTGAAGATATTTGAGACTGGAACACCGGAGAAAGTATAGCTAACGGACAAGTTAGTACTTTACTATTGTACGATTCTTATTAGGGACTTCAAGATAATTATACTTTATGAAGCAAACGAACATGTTCCTGATTTACTTCCGTTATGCTGCACTAAGGTTTTTCCTATCCAGAAACTTTATAACAACAAGATGCGAATAGCAAGAATCTATACACTAGTTTGAGATGTGAATGCATTATGCATTATATGTATATATAAAGTTTACAGATCAGAGACACATACACTCCATAGTACACATATAGGTAGGGATGCTTTTTGTTTTTGTTGCACCGGGTAGGAGCCTAGTGAAAGTTTGAAATTAATGAAGGGCTTACTTTCAAATAATTGAACAAAAAAGAATCTATGGACTGCTCTCGACTTCATGTTCATACAGCAAACGGATTTGGTGTCGATCCCTGTGCATTGGTTACGGCACAGTTTATGGCCATCGCTAAAGTTTGCACGAGACTCGATAAGTCTTCCAAGTGATGATGCAGTCAGGTATAGAGAGGAACAGTTTCTTTGCCCAGTTCTGCATATCATATTAATCTTTACCACACGCACTTCAGGTAGTACATATTTACGGCATAATGGGAGACTAATCCGATCTTCATCAGTCTTAACATAATGAGCCTGGTCCTAATTTCCACTTAGCCGCTAACGCTAATTCATAAAACCAAGTTCCACTATTCCTGGGGTACTTTAAGGAGTTTCGAGTTGGATTCTGCTCCGAATTTTCAAAAGTATCACAATATAAAATAAAGTCATCCAAAAATCTAGTAACCTAATCAATAAATAAACAGCTCGGATCAATACATTGGTTTAACTTTATACTTCCTAGTACATATGATGAGTAGTTTTTGAAAGCTCCTTAGATCATCATTATTAATTGTATTATCACTGTAAGCGTTTCAATTGTGGAAAGCTTTTACCCGGATAATAAATGTTAATTTCTAATTTCTATACCCACAAATTATCATTAAATTAATTTTATCTGAATAATTAACCACATTTAAATTAGACAGTTTAAAAATGCAAATCCATTGAATCTTGATGAATGAAAAATACATAAGTATACATTATTTGAATTACATAAAAGTAAATGAATACTGTTAATAATCAGAATGGGGGTTTGTCGAGGTTTAGTTATTTTAATAGTTGAATTCATGAGTCGATCTAAGCTAGACCACCATTGAAAACCTGTAAGCAGTGAACAACCGTTTCGTCCTAGTATGGGACTCCTCAGCAGTGTACGACCACGATCCCGCACGCGGAATGGTTGCACACCCATTCATGGATTGATTGAAGTTAGACATTAACACCGCCAGATTCTGGCTTAGTGGTCTAGAGGTTAAGCGTTCACACGCGAGACTAAAGATCCTGGATTCGAATCATGGATGCGCACTGACGAAACGGTTGTCCAGTGCTTCCAGGTTTTCGATAGTGGTCTAGTTTAGATCGACTCATGAATTCAACTATTAGAATACTGTTAAACTAATCAATGCGTAATTTCATAACTAGATAAAAACGAGACATTTAGACTAGTAAATTCACAGGAAAAAAACCCACAGTTTATTCTCGAATTTCAATTGATTTCTCTATGTGTATAATTGTATGTATGTAAGAGAATAAAAAATTCAGTCTAGTTCACTTATATCTAACATAATGAATTCGAGCATAGTTAGTTGTTACCAAATTTGTGGTATAAATAAAATTATTTGCCTTGATATCATGTCATATGTTCATAAACTAGTCAAATATTTATGCATTTATACTAACTAGTATAGAGTATGTGGAGATTGTTCAGTTTTTATGGTTTACTTCATAGGATGATCATAGTTAGACAGTCACTACAAAATACGAAGCACTTGTGACTAGACTTTAGACAACTGAGTCGGCATTTGTGACAAATGAAATTTCACAGATTGAAATCATGAGTCAATTGAAGCTAGACCACTATGGAGAACCTGGAAGCACTTGACTTATGATTTCAGTCTGTGAAATTTCTAAAATCTCCACAAACCCCTTCTGATAATAATCATCTGCTCACTAGTGACTGACTTCAAGAGATACTCCTGGAGTTCTAGTGAGAAGCCGTTATCAGTCTGTTGTGAGATATCAGCTCACTGAAGACAATGGTGTACGGTAGCGCAACTTCGTGCATTGGTTGAAGTTAGACATTAACACCACTGGATGCCGGCTCAGTGGTCTAGTTGGTTAAGCGCCTGACGTGAGACTGATAGGTCCTGGGTCCGGATCTCGTGGGGTGCGGGATCGTGGGTGCGCACTGTTGAGGAGTCCCATACTGGAACGAAACGGTCATCCAGTGCTTCCGAGTTTTCCATGGTGGTCTAGCTTCAATTGACTCATGATTTCAATTTGTGAAATTTCTAAAATCTCCACAAACCCCTTCTGACAAATAAAATTCAACTGTGTCTAGTGTGCAACAATTATTCATGTTAGGTAATAGATGACGATGGCATAATATCGAGAAATGATTGAATTTAGGCTGCTCAGTGACCTAAAGTTCAAGCTCTCACCCTGAAACCTGTAGGTCCGAGGTTCAGTTTGAGGTGGGGCAGTGAATACGTGGTTCCATATTAAGAGTTCTATATTAGAATATGATAGCTATTCTCAGTGATTTTTGGTTTTCAATGCCTTTTTGATGAAGACCAGTCTATGATATTAACTGTGTTAGGTCTTATACATCTTTCATTCTTGACCAATAGAAGTAATTTCAAACAAAATATCATTTTTTTAAAAATTATTCAAGCTTTAGATAATACAGGAAATTTAAAATAAAAATGTGTACTTATGAACTAAAGCACAACAATGCAACATGTCGCTACTATCGTACTTCTTAAAATGGTCTAAAGGCATTATACCACTGCTTCATAAAATATTAGAATGATCCGAAATATCAAAAGTTTCTTGAAATAAATGTTGAGTCGGCTCTCCGAGAACTGCAACGGAGCCTCCGTAGGCCCTAAAGGAGCCGGAGAGTCTTAGCCAATCAGAGCATGATGAAGCTTTCTAGAATATCAACGTGGCATGCTACTAGCATAATATGTCTCTTAGCGGATTGGCCAAAATATGATGTTGATTTAACAAATATTAACATCTATAAATACCCGTGTTTTTCTGTACAAAAATGAACTTTTGGAGTAAAGTGCTTTTCGCTTATTTTGCGCTTTTTCTCTTTAGTTCAGGTCGCTGCGTAGTTCTAGCTTGCGGGTTACCAGGATAGCTTAGGAACCGAATAAAGCGTTCAAATTACCAAGAGTTATCAATAAATATGGAGGTTTGTGCAAGATCATTGATCGAGTGAAGTTAAAATTAACACCGTCAAATCCCAGTTCAGTTGTCTAGAGATCGAGCATTCTCGTGCGAACTTGAAAGTCCTGGGTTGGAGGCTCACGTGCGGGCTCGTGGGTGCTCACTTCTGAGGAGTCCCATACTAGGACGTAACGACCGTTCATTGATTTCAGGTTCCCAGTGGTGATCTAGCTTAGATTGACCCATGAATTTAACTTTGAAAATACTACAATCACAATTGATTGATCACTGGGTGGTGATCATTGTCATGTGTATCAAGTCCTTATTAGCGCAGATTGAATGGTATAGACCAAGTTGCAATGTGGGCGCAAGTCTAGGTGACTCGACATTTTGTGAACTATGTTGAGATTAGATGGTGGTTGGAGGTAGTCAACAGGAAACCCCGGACTCGGGTTTCGTGCTACTTGGCACATGTCAGCAAGGGTTACCTGTAATGTTGAAGGAACCGGTGCTTCCTGATGGATTCGACCCCGTATCACCCAAAATTGGAAATAAGAATTATCAATAACTGTTGAAGATTAGATGAATAAAAACTTAATGCTATTATCGTAAATCTTGTGGAATAACTCTTACGCTGTCTAGTCAATGTTTTTGCACTGTATTATGGGCTACAGGATGATTTCGGTGGACTGGTGTCATGTTCTGGTCTGACTAATTTTACCATACACATACTCCATATAGTTAATATATCAAGTTCATTTAACGGATTGGCTTGAATGTAGAGTATGTTCTTTAAATATCTCTGAAACTCATAAACAGTTTATTATAATTATGAAGAAAACTTACCATGACTTAATATTCAAATCATTGATTGTCGGTACTTGAATGACTACAGTATGTGAGGCTTCTGGTTGCTTGGATTGCTGTTAATAAAAAATTTTTTTATTGGTAATCTAGGTGATTTACGTATTTCTAAAGCATTTCTAAAGAATAAAAATTTACAATATGTATATCAATCCTTTATAGTTAATTAAGTTGAAGTGAAATTTCTCCAATGTATTATTGTGGTGTAGGCTACTGATATGTAATTAATTAAAGATCATTGTATTTATTTAGGAGTTTTGTTCAACTTCATCCTAAGAGTAAAATGAGATTTTCAAAAAAACTTTTCTTTGCTATAGAAATAGATAAAGAAAAATTTTAATCGAGTTTTCCAACTGAGTTCAATTGACTGTAGATCAATCCTTTGTATCATAAATCAGTCAGTCAATCAGTAACAACGTAGAACTTCGTACGTACATCATTTCGAGTTGCCATACCCCATTAGCACAGAGATAAGATTATCAATTGAAATCCAGTAGTGGTAGAGGTAGTAAAAGTATAAGCAGTAATTGGTAAGATTAGGGTTTGAAGATGTTACCCAAGGAGTATAATTCAGTGAAATAAATTTGGAAAGAGAAAAAATAAGAGACATGAAGAATTCAGAAAATAAGGATTTGGGGGGACACAAGGAGTGGATGCACCTGTGCCACTGCAAACGATTTCGAGCCGTGTCATTCAATGTATCCAACCATCGGTTGCTATCATCTCGCGGATCCCAACTGGGTAGTTTACACCTACCAACATGGCTCAGTCCACCTGTCAGTGATTTCATGGATTTGTGCCATGTTTTGGTCTGGCCGCACCTAGCTTTCTTCCAACTTACTCCCAAACCATAAAACATCGCTCGTCAAAGGCAGTCGGTGGTTTGGCATACGTAACATGTATCTCAGGCATCTCACTTGATGAAGTTTCACTACTTCATCAATT